TATTCCAGCATACTCCTGGAAAGTACATTTTTTTTTTTTAATGGAGAAAAAGCAAATTTGAAGGCTCCCAGCGAGAAAGAATGGGGCAGTCCATTCAAGGAATGTGAAGGGGGTTTCTGTTACCATGAAGGGATGGCAGTGAGACGAGAATGGAGAGTCAAGCCGGACCTTGTTACCAAGTGGAGAATTTTTACTCTTTCTCTAAAATTGATCTACCTCACTATCAGTTTTACCCAAGAACAGCAGGAAGACTCTGATGGGTTTTAAAGTAAAGGGAATTGTGATTTAGATTCCTATTTAAAAAAATTCATGGACCCAGCGTGGTAACCTAGCGGCTAAAGCCCTCGCCTTGCATGAGCAGGGATCCCTTATGGGCGCTGGTTCTAATCCTGGCAGCCCCGCTTCCCGTCCAGCTCCCTGCTTATGGCCTGGGAAAGCAGTCGAGGACGGCCCAAAGCCTTGGGACCCTGCATCCTCACGGGAGTCCTGGAGGATGCAGGACCTCCTGGCTTCTGACTTCAGATCGGCTCAGCTCTGGCCATTGTGGCTGCTTGGGGAGTGAATCAGTGGATGGAAGATCTTCCTGTCTCTTCTCCTCTCTGGATAGCTGACTTCCAATAAAAATAAATAAGTCTTTGAAGAAAAAAATCTTTTCATTGTGACTGCAATGTGCCTTGAAGGGCTGATAAACAGACTAGTCAGGAAGGAGGTTCTGACTGCAGATGTGTGATTCCAGCAACAGCTAATGTTCACTTTACACAAGGTGGCAAGAAGTGGGAAACAGTGAAGTAGAATGATTCCATCTAGGGGTAGGAAACAAAAAGAGGAATCACTGATGCCTCCTGGGACCTAAGTATTATTACTTAACGAGCATGGGAAGAGTGAAAAGGATCATCACTGCGTTAAGAATTTTTTATTAATGACCTCATTAGGACAGATAAGGGAAAATCTGTGTTCCCATAGGATTTACATTCTAGCAGATACAGGGAAACATACACATTTTTAAAGGTACAATGTGGTGGGCATTTGACACAGCAGCTAATGAGCCACCTGCAACGCCTGCATCCCATATTAGAACTCTTAGGCTTGCGTCTCAGCTCCGTTTCCAATTCGAACTTCCTGCTAACACATCCGCAGGTAACAGTAATGACTTAGGTCCCGACCACCCTCGTGGGAGAGAGCTGTTTTTCTCTATCTTCTCCTGTCAATCTGCCTTTCAAATAAATAAATCTTTTAGAAATGAATTGACATTTGATTGTATCATCTGTTTGGCAGACTGCTGACATCTCATCCAACAGAAGCTCTCTCTGAATAGATCCTGATTTTCTTTGGGATAGCAGTGTGCTTAGCCAAACTCTTCTTTGGGAAGCTAGGAACTTACCAAAGTTCTGGTCAAGAGGTATTAGTGTTGTTTTCTTGTGTCAAAATCTCTCATTTTTAATTCCACAGTGGGGATACAAACATCACACATTGATCCCAAAGGTTTGTCTTGAGACTAGAAACTGGATGCTATGTTTAACTATCTACCACACTGCCACTTGGGTAAACCTCCAATTAAGCATGCCTCAACCCAGACTCATTTTCCTTGTTTATTCTTCTGCAGTCTTTCCCTTCCAAAGACTTATTTATTTAATTAGCTAATTCTCAGGCTGCAAGCACCAGCATCCCATATGGTCACTGGCTTGTGTCCTGGCTGCTCTACTTCCCATCCAGCTCCTTGCTTATGGTCTGGAAATGCAGAAGACAGGCCAAAGCCTTGGGATCAGCTCAGTTCCAGCCATTTCATCCATTTGGAAAATGAACCAGTGGATGGAAATTCTTTCTCTGTTCCTCCTTCTCTCTTTAAATCTGCCTTTCCAATAAAATAAATCTTAAGAAAATAAATATATAAAAGGAAGCGTGACAGAAGGAAGAGAGATCCTTTATCTTCTGGTTTATTCTCAAAACATTAAAACTTTCAGGTCTGGGTCACACCAAAACCAGGAACCAGAACTCAATCTGGGTCTCCCACATGGGCAGCGAGAACCCAAATACTTTGGATTATCAGCTGGCTCTCCCAGGCACGTGGGCAGGAAGCCGGATCGTACGTGCAGATCAGCCATGACACGAACATGCAGAGCACAGGCTGAACCCACTGCACACAACACTCACCACTTTGTGTTCTCTATGCAACTGAACAGTCTTAGTCTCTACAGTGAAGCAAGAAACTTGAGAGCCATCCTACATGTCTTTTTCTCCCTAAATCTCTTATTCAGTCCCGCAGGCTTTTTCCTAATCATTGCTCTAAACCACGCTAGTGCTGCTATCACATACTCTCTGGAGTACAATAATTTCCAATTCGTTCCCAGACACAAACCTAACACTCTACCCCCCAAACTTCAGGCAAGGTGCTTTTGGTATTTAAAATTTTTATTTTATTTATTTATTTTAAAGATTTATTTTTATTGCTAAGTCAGTATGCAGAGAGGAGGAGAGTCAGAGAGGAAGATCTTCTGTCTGATGACTCACTCTCGAAGTAGCAACAATGGCAGAGATAAGCTGATCGGAAGCGAGGACCCAGGAGCTTCTTCCAGGTCTCCCACATAGGTGCAGGGTCCCAAAGCCTTGGGTAGTCCTCGACTGCTTTTCCAGGCTACAAGCAGGGAGCTGGATGGGAAGCGGGGCTGCTGGGACTAGAACAAGTGCCTATATTGGATCCCGGAGCATTCAAGGTGATGACTTAAGCTGCTAGGCAACTGCGCTGGGCCCTTGGTATCTTAAATTTTCAAGGTCTTTCTGATGATGTACATTCCCATAATCCTCCATATGCATGGATTTCAAAATTTTTGCATCAATATAAAGGTATTTTTAAATACACACTTTCCATTAATTTTCTGAAGCAGCCTTGTACTTCCAGTGTCTCGGCACTCCTCAGGAGCTTTTCTGAGTGAAGAGCTGAGCCAAAGACGGGCCCTGAAGATTCATTTGCTTCAAGATAAACCTTCTTCTGGGTCATAAGCACCTACACTGCTTTTTTGCTTTCAAGTTAGTCACATGAATAAAAATAACGAGCTTTACATTTCTCTGAAATGAAATATGGGAATAGCATGACTTCCTGAGAAAATATAAACACACATAAATAATTTCAAAAATTAAACAAAAATTGTAAGTGGCATTATGGGAATCTGGTGAGTTCTAGAGATGAATCTTCATTCCCTTCAAGAACTTTATGACTACTGAACAACTCAAACTCATCCTGTGAAACTTTTCCCAATACCAAAGTCTTCCTGGATGATCTTTTTCCCGTTGTCAAGGACATTTTCTATATTCTCCTTTGTAGAAATGATTTTATTGTTTGTTGCAGACTTTTCTTTCCTATATTTCTAGCTTCCTAAACTACCTGTTTTGTAAGCTGTGAAGCTGCAATCAGGTCTCATCTTTTTAAGAGCCACTCCCTGGGGCAGCACTGTGGTACAACAGGTTAGGGCAGTGCTGGCTAAGCCTGCACCCTCTAGCACAGCACCTGCTGAAGCCCTAGCCGCTGTGCTTCCGGTGCAGGTCCCCACTAACGTACCTAGGAAAGCAGCAGAAGGCACACTATGTGTCTGGGGCCGGCAGCTACGGGGGAGATCTGTATGGAGGCCCCAGATAGTGGCTTAGGCCTTGCCCAGCTCTGGCCGTTCCAGTCATCTGGGGAGTGAGCTGGCAGATAGAAGATCTCCCTCTCACTCTGCCTTTTGAATAAATACATAAATCTTAACAAGAGTATAAAAACTAGCCATGAATATCTGAGAAAAGTCATTATCCATAGTTGTGTAATTGTAACAAGGAATAGAGAACAGTCAACCAATTACTCTGTTATGGACTGAGTTTTGTCTGCCAAAATCCATGCGCTTCCTGTTATCCCAAAAAATGGATCTTGGTTGGATGCAGGGTCCCTGCAGTCGCAATGACTTACGATGAAGTTGTGCTGGAGTGCGGCAGGCTATTCATCAAGAGAGGAATTAACACCTAAGGAGAGGCCACAGGACTGAGACAAACAGGGTGATGACGGTGCTGCAGCAGGGAACCAAGGAGAGCCACGTGTTGCCAACAGCCACAAGGCAGGAGAAAAGGAAGGAGGACTGCCCACCAGTCTCAGCGGGATCACGGCCTTTGGCCATCCAGGCTCAGCCTCTATGTGGCAATCCCATTCTGCCTCACCTCTCCATTTCCTTACTTTACTGCGCTTAGCACTCCAAGAATGCAATCTTGCCAAGGACCTGAGAAATGCTGGGGAGCTGAGTTCTTGTTCCTCCTTGTACGCGCATCACTTGATGGAACTCCTAATACGTGGCAGACCCTCAAGAAGTGTTTCTGAAAGAGCTATTCATCTATAAAGTCAAACTTCGTAGGAATTATGTGACAGAAGGAAGGTCATTTTATAAACCTTAATATTTCCATTTGATTACGAGACAAAACAGGATTAAAACATTTACAGAACAGAGTTGTAACCAACATATCAGAAGTTATCCCTTTCACAGCAAATCGGTGGTGAGGAGAAATATTCCTTCGGGCCGGCTCTATGTTTTAACAGGCTAATCATCTACGTGCCAAGTGCCAGCACATTATACGGGCCTTGGTTCGTGTTCAGGCTGTTCCATTTCCTATTCAGCTCCCTGCCTGTGGCCTGAAAAAACACTGGAAGACGGTCCAAAGCCTTGGGACCCTGGACCTGCGTGGGAGACCCGAGGAGGCTCCCGGTTCCCAACGGGCTCAGCTCCAGCCCTTGCGGCCACTTGGGAGTGCACCAATGGATGGAAAGTCGTTCTGTGTCTCCTTCTCTGTGCAAATCTACTTTTCCCATTTTAAAAAATATTTAAAGAGACATTCCTTTATAAAAGGACAATTTACACCTCTTGTTATGCCCAAGTTCCAAGAGAAGGTGTCTAAGCAATGGTGTGGTTACAAGACTCCTCGCCGACTTCCCTCGAGGAACTCTTGGCCTCCCCCTGCCCCCCAGCACACGCCCCAGTACCAACCAGAAGGAAATCATCTTTCCGATAGGCCTGAAAGGTCTGGTCAAACCCGAAGGCCTGAGCCTCGATTCTGCCCAGCATCGACCTGGGGCAAAGAGTAACAGTCAGCAGGCAGCTCACACCCGCTCCGAACACGCAAACAGCTAGTCCCACCCCCGGGATGCACCCTGCCCGCGCGTTAGGGGGCTTCGGGGTTCCCACTCCCTGGCTGTCAGGGTTCCCACTCCGTGGCTGTCGGGTCCTCCGCTCCCTGGCCGTCGGGGTTCCCCGCTCCCTGGCCTTCGGGGTCCTCCGCTCCCTGGCCGTCAGGGTTCCCACTCCCTGGCCTTCGGGGTTCCCACTCCCTGGCCATCGGGGTCCTCCGCTCCCTGGCCATCGGGGTTCCCACTCCCTGGCCGTCAGGGTTCCCACTTCCTGGCCTTCGGGGTTCCCACTCCCTGGCCGTCGGGGTCCTCCGCTCCCTGGCCATCGGGGTCCTCCGCTCCCTGGCCGTCGGGGTTCCCACTCCGTGGCCGTCGGGTCCTCCGCTCCCTGGCCGCGCAGGGCTCGCGTCCCCACAGCCGCTGAGGCCAGGGTGCTTCTGCCCTCCCCGCCCTGTCGCCCCTCACCACTGGCGAAGCCTGCTGGTGGTTTCCCGGGCGCTCAGAAACGGGAAGGTTTTCTGAGGCAGGAACCTGAAGTAGTAACAGCCCACGTCTCCCGGCTCCCCCGACGCCATGCTGCCCTCAGCCGCGCGGAGCGAGAAGCCGTTTCCATGGAGACGCGGCGGGGCGTGCGCAGGCGCGAGCGTCCGTGCCGGAGGCGGGGCGGGAGGGGGCGGGCCGGTCTCCTCAGCCACGGGCACCCCACACACCTACCGGCTGCTGATGGAAACGGTGTTCGGGAACGTGAAAGAACTGTCAGTGTACATAATTACCCAGCGAGAGTTAGTGTTCGAGTCTCAAAGCTGTAATCTCAAGTTTATAATTATCGAAGTTTGATGACGCAAACGTTTCCGAGGAAAAGGATTGTTTTGACTTAATTCGGTTTATCTGTTTTGGAAAGACAGATGTGTTTGTGACTGCTTGGGGAACAAGTGTTACCATCTGGTTCTTTTAAGAGCTACATTTGAAGGTTAAAAATGTTTTCATATACACTACACTGTTTAATTAGAAAAACGTGCTTCTTATTTTTTATTGAAAATTGTTCTATCTAGTTCTTGCTGTGTTTTGCTTATTTGCGTGTATCCAGGATTCAGTATCGGAGATGGTGTTTTCCTCCTCTTTTGTAATTTCCGTGAAGTTTCCAATCAGAACAGATTTTAGACCTTTAGAAACCTTTTACGATTTTTACTTACCTTTTAAAAGATTTATTTGTGCGGCAGAGTAGAGGGAAACACACACACACACACACACACACACACACACACACACACACACACACGGGAAGGAGAGGAAAAAGAAATTTGCCCTCACAGCACTTGTGAGCACACACCATTGCATTAGTACACCACAATTTTGGGATTCCATCTTGAGCTAGGAAAGTATGACCGGTCATTCCTTGTGCATCTCTTTTGATGGGCTTATGCACTTTTGAAAGTTGCCTTGAAATTGCTCAGTTAAATGGTGTCTGTATAATTTTACTAGCTATTGCTGGAAAGTTTTCTGAACTAGATCAAATTGTACTCCAAGCAACAATGCCAGGGATTGCAGTTCATCATCCTCACTGCTGCATGGTATTGAAATTGTATCTATTCTGGGGTTCCATTAATTTATAACTGTGATTTCAAATTCATGTTTCATTGATAGTTGCAATTATTGAGAAACTTTTGTATATGATTATGGGCCTTTTTTATTTTTATTAAGATTTTTTAATTTATTTTCATTACAAAGTCAGATATACAGAGAGGAGCAGAGACAGAGAGGAAGACCCTCCATCCGATGATTCACTCCCCAAGTGAGTGCAACGGCCAGTGCTATGCCGATCCGAAGCTGGGAACCAAAAACCTCTTCCGGGTATCCCAAACGGGTGCAGGGTCACAAAGCTTTGGGCCATCCTCAACTGCTTTCGCAGGCCACAGGCAGGGAGCTGGATGGGAAGTGGAGCTGCCAGGACTAGAACCGATATGGGATCCCGGGCGTGTTCAAGGAGAGGACTGTAGCCACTAGGCCACGCTGCCGGGCCCAAATGGGCCATTTTTATATCTTTAGTGAAGTGCTTATTCAAGTGCTTTGTCTACTGCAAAGTTTTCAAGCTTACTAACTTTTTAAAGATTTACTTTTATTGGAGAGTCAGATTTACAGAGAGGAGGAGAGACAAAGATATTCTGTCAGCTTAGTTTGCTCTCCAAGTGGCGCTAATGGCCAGAGCTGAGCCAATCCGAAGCCAGGAATGAGGAGCTTCCTCTGGGTCTCCCATACAGGTGCAGTGTCCCAAGGACTTGGGCCATCCTCGACTGCTTTCCCAGGCCACAAGCAGGGAGCTGGATGAGAAGTAGAGCAGCTGGGACACAAACTGGCACCGTATAGGATCCTGGTACATGCAAGCCAAAAGACTTGGGCCAAAGACTGGGCCCTAGTCTTACCAACCTTTTTTTTTTTTTTTAAGATTTATTTTGTTTTTATTGGAAAGTCAGATATACAGAGAGGAGCAGAGACAGAGAGGAAGATCATCCACCTGTTGATTCACTCCCCAAGTGGCTGCAATGGCTGGAGTTCAGCCAATCAAAGCCAGACACCCAGAGCCTCTTCTGGGTCTCCCATGTGGGTGCAGGGTCCCAAGGCTTTGGGCTGTCCTCCACTGTTTTCTCAGGCCATTATCAGGAGCTGAATGGGAAGTAAAGCAGCCTGGACTGTCACCTTATATTGTATGCTGACATCACAGGCAGAGCCTTAGCTTGCTATGCCATAGCACTAGTCCCAGAATTTGTTTATTTTTATTGGAAAGACAGATTTTACAAAGAGAAGGAGAGACAGATCCTCTATCTGGTTTTTTCTCCCAAATGGCTGAAACAGCCAGAGCTGATCTGAAGTCAGGAGCTTCTTGGGAGTCTTGCACGTGGGTGCAGGGTCCCAAAGCTTTGAGCCATGAGCAGGCAGCTGGTGGGAGGTGGATCAGCTAAGACATGAACTGGCAGCCCTATGGAATGCTAGCACTTGATAGATGGAGGGTTAGCCAGTTGAGCCATTAATGTGGTCCCCCAGAATTTGTACTTTTAAAATATTTCAAAAATATTTCTAGAATGCTCAATAATAAAAAAAAATCCTATACTTTCTTTAAACTTTATGCTAAATGTCATCTCAGAAAGGGATTTATTCCAGTGTTTCTAGCTAAATTCATAAATCTTGCTAACTGATCAAATCTTGGATTATATACTATGATTTTGTACTCTGATTTTCCTTTTGGACTCTGATATTTTATGAACATATTTCTAAGTAGATTATATGCTATAGGACATGGGGAATTTGCTTAACACTTTACAAGAACATACAGTATCTGAGCGGATAGTTTTTAATTTTTATTTTCCCATTTTGTTGAAGTATACATGACATAGGATTCATTGGAAACATTCATGTTTTACAATGTGATGAAATTTTATGTATGAGATCTTGGTTTCTGAGACCTTTAAAAACAATAATTTTTGTTTTGAGATTAAGATGTTATTTATTAAGTGTAGGAAATTCTTTCCTTATTTTTGTATTATTCAATAGGAAATGATTTTTGTGGTATTGACAAAATTATCTTTTTCTAACCCTATTAAGATTTGTGATTATGCTTTGAGTACATAGTCCCAAGTTCAATATTCGCTTAGAAATGATAACGTTCTAATTACTTAAATATGAATGGTAGCTATATATTCTATTTAACACTTACAAATTCAGTCTTGACAGTATGTTTTATTAAGCCTTTCAGTCATTAACTTTTAAAAACAATTTTATAAGTAGCTTGTTTAATACAGAAACAAACAAGAACTACTCTACTCACAGAAATATAAAGGATAGCATTTTATAAAGTACACATCCTTCCAGGCTTGTTTTGTTGCTTACCCAGCACTCATCCTCTCATTTTTCACAGTGATGGAATCTCTATTTTGTTAAACTATTCACTATCATATAGTCATATGTCTTTGGGATACAATTCTATTTTACTTATGACCAAAAGAAGTTGATATGATTTTCTTTGTAAAATTAATCTGTTGGAGTGGGCACTTGGGCCCCTGTTAGGATATCACTTGTGATGCCTCTTGCTCATTGTGTGTGGGCGTTTTTCTCAATTCCATTTTCCTGCACACCCTGGGAGGCAGCGGGAGATGGAAAAGTAGTGGAGAGACAGGAGGGGAGAGACAGCGAGCTCTTCCATCTTTTGGATCGCAGGGCTGGCCAGCCTGGAGCCAGGAGTGTAGAACTCTATCTGGGTACCCCACACATGTGGCGCAAGCAACAAGACCAGTTTGGATTGGGAGCAGAGCAGCTGAGGCTCAAATCAAAATGGGATGTTTGTGTTGTAAGCAGTGGCTTAACCCACATGGCAGATCTGGATGGAATTCCCAGCTCCTGATTTAGGGAGTGAATGAGCAGCTGGGAAAGCTGGGAAGCCCTAGTGTGCCCCCTACCATGTGTCCATTTGCCTCCCTGCTTTGTTGCCTCTCAAACATTTAAAAAATGTATTCCTAATAAACTCTTATATTTGAAAGCTATCCTTTAATAACCATATCTTTTACGAAATCATAATTATCTGAGAAAAGCTTGTCACCCTATGTATATGGAGTTGTAGTCATTGAACCTTGCTGTCCAGTATGTGTCTATGGGACCAGCATTGACTTCATTTGGAAACTTCTGAAAAGGAAGAATTTTTGGTACCGTCTCAGACATCATAAGGCAGATTCTACACTGAAACAACTCTCTTCAGGTGCTTCACAATACATGGACGGCTGCTGCTCCTGATGTTACCATGACCTCTACGCAGTGGACCCTGGGAAAGGACGTGTCTTCTGCCAGCCAGCCTGCCCTCTTAGACTACGCTTCAAGTTTCACTTCTCCAGTGGGCTCTTTTTCTTTTCCTTTTCTCTTTTTTTTTCTTTGCAAAGAGCTTTATATATCTTTAGAAAAAACTTCTAGGATTTTATATTTTAAAAAACATGTTTTAAACCTAGAAATGAAAAGGCTGTTGAAACATCACACAAATTTTGGCAAAAAAAAAAAAATTCAATCTCTATCACCAACCTAAGCAAAAACGCTCAGGGTCCTTGTTTTATGTGGTTGGTTCTTGAGAAAATCCCTGTGGATTATCAGTAAGGAGCCACTGCTGTGACATAATTCCAAAGGCCTGTGTCAGCAAGGGCTGGACCTGGACTTCCGTCAACCTTAAACAGGAAGAAGGGGCTGTTTTGGTGACGTGTGCAACATGGAAGCACCTACCCTAGCATGCGTGCTCCTTTGATCTTTCTTTGTGTTTTGGTCCATTTTGCCTGTTTTTTTTCCCCCCATTTTTGTTTGGCTTTTTCCATCTTTTTTTTTTTTTGCCCAGTTTTTCCATTTTTTTCTTTCCCTCATTATTGAGTAATACTGCCAGATAAGCATTACTAATGTTTTTTGTTCATTTTGCCTCATTTTTTTTGTTTTCAGTTTTATTTAGACATCACTGTGTCTTGCTACCTAGTATTGTCAGTACAGCTAGTGTACATCAGATATTACCATTAATACCCTTGTTATGTTTCTTTTATTAGGTATTGCAGTCAGGGTAGTTGATTAGTT